TCAGCCATTGGACCTGGAAATGGAAGATTAGCTACTTAATCACTGGTAGTCTGCATTCCTCGACTGCTTTGCATAATATGCAGATAACTTGCATTTCTGTCTTTCTTTTTCCCATCAGTCTTTGTCTCTTTCTTCACCAATTCCTGGCACACTGCACGGCCACATTTGATCTGAGATGGTGCTTTGCTGTTGTCCTGCATATTGGTTTTTAATTAAATAGAATTTTCTGATAGGCAAAAGCAAGGCTGGTGGTCTCCACTCCTTGACTAGGTGTCTTATTTTATTTTTTTACAATGGTCCCTGGAGGGGCTGTTTTTTAGAAGACCTCACTAGGCCATTAGTTCATTAGACAGAGACGTTAAGTAACCTGAGTAATGATATTCCCGACATAATAGCTCCTATCACTGCTTCTCAACTACGGCTGAGATGTAGATCAGGTCTACATGGAGGCTGAGGAGGAGGCGTGCAGCCATGGAAACCACACTCTTTTTATCAGAACTGGTAGCAGAAGGCCCTGCATTTGGTTGGCCACATGCTTCTGCTTCCTCTGATACCACCGCAGAGAGCAATGGGTTCCAGGGGTGGGAGTGAATGAAAAACAGCATTAGGTTTGGATAACCCCAAAACTTGACTTACTGAGTGAGTTGCAATGTTTATGAAGCAGTAGTCTTAGAGAAGCCATTTCCGGCTAGGCTTTGTGACTATATCTAGGAGAATATCTATGTTGTGATAGTTTTTAATACTTGTCTACATTTGCTAATCACCATTTACCATAGAGCAGACATCAGATGCCAAGCCCTCCACTGATAGCTCTCTAATTTGAGATTAAGAGCATTTATATTTTAATTACATTTTTTATTTTTCAATTATTTTTTGTATTATTTTCTATTTAATATAGGAAGAGCTGTATCTATTTATAACTTTACCATATATTTTTTCATGGACTTATTTAAGTAGAAAAGGAAGCTTATGTACAGGGAAATGTTAAATAAATAATAGGATGTTATCAAAATCACACCAGTAGTATCATTATTAGAACAAAATGATTCAAGTAATCCTTATTTAATGAGCATCCCACACACAATAAAATGTGGCATTTGATAATGCAGCAAGAAGCTGTGATGGAAAGAGCAGTAGACTCTTAAGTTCATTGTGTAAGTTGCAGTTTTTCCATCCATTAACAGTATTACTTTGGCAAGTCGGTGTTTCTTGTGCCAGAAGCTGTATAAAAGAGATTTTTTTAAAGCTTCAAACGCTGTGGGAAGTGTAATTTGTTATTCTGTCAGTTTGTGCTGTTCTACATCACAAGCTGGTAGGTGTAGCTTAGAAGATCAGTGTGGGGATTTGTCCACATCTTGCATGTTTGGACTAAATGGACATGATGGCAATCTGGTTTTTGTTCTTCACAAATATGTCAGAGAAGCAAATGTTGACTGTTTTATCCAGGCTTTAAATGAATCTGTTTTGAAATGAACAGAGTTCAGGGAAAGAAATAACATGATAGGGGAACCTACTTGAAAAAAATGATCACAGCATTGTTTTCCTATGGAGTTGACATGTGAGCTGAAATTTGAATAGTGAACGAGAGACAACCATAAGAAAAGAAGAAAAAACACAGGGAAAGGAGTCTTTCTCTGAAGGGAATAGCCTTTGCAAAAGGTAGAGAGATGTCGCTGTTTCTTCGGAGCAGGGCCAGATGATCTAAGACTTTGCAGGTCATGGTGAGTGGCTTGGGCTTTATCCTAAATGCTTTGGAACACCATTGAGGAGTTTTTAAAAGATGGCTCAATCTTCCACATTTCAGTTTGAGTGGCCAAGCTGGTCAAGAAGTACAGGTGAAGGCTAATGTTGTATTTCCTGGAACGTGGCTGCTTCATGAAGCTTCCTTAACTTTCCCGAACTCTGCCTTGGTCCTTAAAGCCCCTTCCCTTCCCAACAGCTCAGGTACTCGGATGTCATTTATCCTACTGTGCTTTAATACTGTTTTATATTATTCCCCATTCCGCCCAAGTTCTTGATTCAGAACCATGTCTTATTTAATTTTTGAATTGCCCACAAAACTGACTTCTGTGTCTTCCATTTAATAAGTGTTCCATATATATTTGTTAAATGAGTAAATACACGAGTTCAGTGGTCTCATCAGTCAGTATGCCTCAGAACCAACTGGGGAGATTTAAAATATGGATCCCAGGGCCACACCCCAGAGATTCTGATTCACACGGTTTGTTGTATTTGTTATAAAACTGCCAGGTGATTCTGAGGGGCGGTTGGAGTGGAGAATGAGACCGGGCTGATTTGGGTGGTCTGTAGTATTACGTGGGAGTAATACTATATTTGCCTTTTCCTCATGAATGTTAAAGGCATGGCAGAAGTGGCTATCTGGCCTTTTATTCAAAATAATGGATATGGATCTATTGCAGGTGGTAGTTGGACATGCAGCACTATTATATTACTGGTTCAGGTCTGTAGGGTGCATTTTCTAGGTATATTACCAATTAGCTCTCCTTTGGGAGAAGAAAATAAATTTCTGTTTTTCACTAGACGTTTGGATTTTGACTTATTTATTATTAGCTATGGACCCCGAAAACCTCACAAAAAAGAAGGGATTAAACCATGACTTTGTCAAGCATGGGACTCAGAAAGTCTGGAAGTCCTATGTTTGTGCAAGTGTTTTGATTTCAGGAGGGGAAAGTCTCAACTCTATATAATGTATATATAATAATATAATTTTAAGGTACCTGCTTCAAAATAGAAACCGGGATGGTGGAAATAATAACAATAAACAAAAATTAAATCAAAATGGGCTCAGTGCCCAGGAAAACTACCCAGATTTTAAGAACCAGGCGAGGAATAAACCAATATGGGGGAAAGGCAGGACTGGATGGAGCTGTAACTGCCTCTGTTAAAAATGACCGCTCTGCAGTGTGATCGCTGTTGAGCAATTCTGTGGGGCATTTGTCATGTGGGTGGGGTTCCTGTAGTTCTCATTTCAGTGACAAGCGTCCAATGGAACTTGCTTTTCTAAAATGTCAGTGCTAAACATGCCAGTAATCACAGTGATCTTGCATTGTGTTTGAGCTTTTATAATGCTGTAAACTATTTGGAAATAAATGGACCAGAAGTAAAAATAGTTCATAACAACATTAACTAAAGCTACAAGGAAAATGTTCATGTTTCCCAGGATGCTTAAATGTCGGGTGATTTACATAAACAAAGGAGGAAATCCCCTTTGTGTTTAGGGATGTGTGTCTAATACAGGAACCCGTGTTTTCCTGTCATTGAAAAGAGTTCTTTAATCTTTTAAGCACATTTTAGAACCCGCATATATTCCAGGTGTGTTATTTACTTTAACATTAAAACACAAGCAGGACATGACTATCAGAAAAACCTGTTAGATCTCCCTTTGTGTCCTAGGAGACACAAAAAGTAAATGAATTGAATTAAATGAATTGGCAGAGCCCTGAGCAGACTTGTAATAGTTGTTCTTAATGAGACTTAACAGGCTTATACTTGGAGCTGTAGGCCAGAGAAGACTTTTGTGAAGAGAAGACCATAAATTTCCACTGATTGTGGGTGTTAAGTGGATGATGACTTTTTAACCATGAAAGTAAATGTAATTGGTGTGAAATGTTCAGAAGCTTTCAGCCAAATATAGCTGAAATAATGGGCAATAAACCTAAGCACTATTTGAAATTTTAAAAAAATATTTGCTAAATTCTGGTTAAGAGCTAAGAGATGAGATTGTACTGAAGTCATAAAAACAATGTTTAGTCCTGGAACCACAGGGATTCTTACCAGACCTAAAGGCAGGGTACCCACACTACATTCTCCTCTTGGTCCCCGCTTTCCTTACCCCAGACACTTTGACACAGTAAACCCTGGCATGCATAAAAGGAGAGTTTTCTTACCACCAACCAGGACTGGAGTAGGTGTTCTCTGTCCTTCGTCCCTCAAGGATTTTCTTTGCCATCTGTTGAGCACCTGCATAGTTACTTGAAAACATGGAATTTGTGGGGTTATTTAAAACACAGAAAGAATGTGCCACCGGTACACGGTCTTATTAGGATAGCATTCTTTATGACAAGTTGTGCTTTCCACTCTTCCTAGTTCCTGTATAGCATCATTTCTGTTAAATCTTACCATTCCTCCAGCCAAGGCTCGCAGGAACTTCTAGGAAAGCCCTTTCGAAACACTTCATTACCTCCCCACCCTTGAGGCTCTAAGTCATGAAATAAGCAGATATAGAAATATTCCAAGGGACTCTCTCCTGGTGGCTGATGCTTGGCTTCTGTCTGAGAGGTGTCACTGTCCATCATCAGCATGACTAAGGCTGGAAGGAAAGACTATCCTGGTCCTAAAGGTGTGGTGACCTCAGGAATTGATATTGGGGGTGCGACACCCAGAATGCCAGATATAGTCATAATTAGATGCAAAATTAATACAAACTGGACTGCATTTTAAAGCCAAATGGTTGTGTGTGTTTTAATGAGATATTACTCATCCCTAAAACCTGAAATATTTACACTGGGCTATGAAATTGAAAATATGCATTGCAGTTCCTTAGGGGAACTTCCTTGAAAATTCAGCCTTTCCCAATGACCCCTGCTTGGTGCCTGTCAGCCCTGTATGCTTCTTGCCTGCAGTTGGTTATTGCACACTCACAGCCTCCATTGAAGGTGCTTGGTGGTATTGGATTAAGTAGTGTTCAGTTTGAATGAATGAAGACAAAGCAGCCCTTACTGTTATAATTGTACTGTAACTGCTTGAGAGAAGAGATTATCATTTCTATGGCTTTTTACTTCCCCCCTCACCAAAAGCCCACATATTCATTTTCTCCTTAGATAGATCTATATATTTTTATATATATACACATATGTATAGATTTTTTCTCCCTTCTCTCTCTCTTTTTGCACATGCATGTAAGTGTGAGATAGAAGCACTGCTGACAGAGGAAACAAACCAACCAACACACCCACTCATCTGTGGTCTTTTCTTGGCAGTGACAAACAAGAAGCCCACACAGGCGTCCATCACGAAGGTCAAACAGTTTGAAGGCTCCACGTCATTCGTGCGGAGATCACAGTGGATGCTCGAGCAGCTTCGCCAGGTTAACGGCATCGATCCTAATCGGGTGAGTGACCTGTGGAGTGTGGAGTGAAGGTGGCCTCTTCACATGATGACTCTTATATTCACCTTGGCAATGGTGGTGGTTGTCTGAGTCGTTTTTAACAAAGCTATTTCTCTATTTCAATTTGCAACCAAGACTTTCTGATCCCTGTTCCTTTCTTATAGGGAATTACAAACCTTTCCATCATGTTTGATACAGGAACCTAAGGGGACGCAGATTGAAGAAATGCTACGTCCAGTAATATGTTTATCAGCAAAGTGCAAAGACCAGAGTTCAGATATCATGGGTATCAATATGAAAAACCATGTTTATCTAAGCTTCATTTATCTCCTCATGCCACCAATGATGAGGTTTATTTGCTAAATAAATAAATAAATAAAACCTTAAAAGTTTAGGAGTCTATTGCATTTAATATTAGAAACCTTTTGTGATATTTATTCAAAGTACATTCCCCCCTTTTGCTCACACACATTCACCATATAAAACGTCAATAATGAAGAAAAATTAAAATGTAAATTGTAACTATATGCTAAAATGATGAGGGGGAATCTTTTCCTCTCAGAGGTTAGAGGCAAGATTTATATGATTTAGTGCTGAGAACCTAAAGGAATTATGTCCCAAGGAATTGGGAAGGCGATATGTAGTCTGAATTCTGACGCAGGTCAACGTGTGGTAGGCTACAGGGACCTCTGTGGTACTAGCTTCCTCGGGACATCTGTAAATACTGTAAGATTTGGGTTTGCTTGATAAACAGAGAAAGGTGGATTCTCCACGCACCTGGGTGCTAATAAAGATGAGCCTCGTCATTAGGAACAAAGTTTTGAAAGGTGTTTAAGCCTTTATGAGTCTTTTGTTGGGCATAAGCTAGAACCAGCAGTTTTTATACATTGAGATCAGTAGTTATTTCACTGTTTTTTCCAGGATTCTCCAGAGTTTGATTTGTTGTTTGAAAATGCCTTTGACCAGTGGGTAGCCAGCACAGCCTCAGAAAAATGCACCTTCTTCCAGATCCTCCACCACACCTGCCAGAGGTACCTCACGGACAGGAAGCCAGAGTTCATTAACTGCCAGTCCAAAATCATGGGAGGTGAGTAGGCATTTGTGTGACTTCAGTCATCCTGTTGCCTTAGGCTCACTTTTATATAAGTTAGGTGTTCCACAGCATGAAGATGAAAAAAAAGGGATCAAGTTGCTATACTGCATGAGAACCATTTTAGGGAGATCATTGTACACTCAATCTAGACACAGTGGTATGTTTTCATACTTATCCAAAAGCTGGTCTTTTTAGAAGAATGAGCCACTTAACTAAGATTATTTGCACTATAAGAACAAACCTGTTTCTGTAGTAGAAATACCTTTCAGCCCGGCCGGGCGTGGCTCATCGGTTGAGCGTTGACCTGGGATCCAGGCGATCCGGGTTCGATTCCTGGTCAGGGCACATGCCCGGGCTGCAGCTCCATCAATGACTCTCTCATCATTGATGTTTTTATCTCTCTCTCTCTCCCTCTCCTTTCCTCTCTCTCAAATCAATAAAGATATACTTTAAAAAAAAAGAAAAGAAATACCTTTCAGTTTTACTACTTTTCTAAAATTTTATTGTAGAACACTGTTTTCTGAGTTCCTTTTTCTTGTTAATTCTCAATATATTTTACAAATATTAATATAAAAATTCTTACAGATGTAGTCCCTTTCTTTTTCTTTCTTTCTTTTTCAACCTATTTTTATTGATTTCAGAGAGAGGAAGAGAGAGATAGAAACATCAATAATGAGAGTCATTGATCGGCTGCCTCCTGCACACTCCCTGCTGGGGATCAAGCCCGCAACCCGAGCATGTGCTCTGACCGATCTCCTGGGTCAATGCTCAACCACTAAACCACACCGGCTGGGCTAATCCCTTTCTTTCAAATAGCGATTAGTCTTACTTTTATTTCTTGAATGGCGTACAGAGCTGAGTGCTGTAAGCCAGCCTTAAGGGGCAAGTACTAGCATTGGTAATTTCATGAGAAACATATAAGAGGGCATTTAACACATTTCTTTTAGGTGATATTCCTTTTTAGGGAATTGAAACTGTGCTAAAAATATTCAGGCCTTGCCGATCACTCTGTGAGTTGAAGAAAAGTGTTTATATCATTGATCTTTTCACTGACCTGGTTTTGAAAGAATTTTTTTAAATTTATCTTTACTGTTGAAAATATTACAGATGTGCCCCTTTCCGCCCCCCATTGTTCCCCTCCATCCTGCATCTGCCCCACCCAGGCCTTCCCCAATGCGCCAACTTTATCTTAATCAAGTGTCAAATAAAAGTCACATTAGAGGCACTGCATATCTTCTTTGGGCTGTGTATATCTTCATGTGAACAGGGCATGAATTCCATTATTCTGTCCCAGCAACTGACGTTCTCGTTGACATTTTGTCATTAGTCTGCTAGACGTTGTATTGGAGAAGACACTGTTCAATACTTATTATTCACTGAATTATTCCTATTTCTCTTAAACAGGAAGTTGCTTATATCATAGAACCTTGAAAGGGCTTTCTTTAGGCACTGATGTACAGTTGTCTTATAGTTTCTCTATTTAGTCTTAGAAAAATACAGCAGAGGTGATGAGTGGTGCATCTTAACTTCAAAGTGGCCTATGGTACAAAAGTGAAAAATTTAGACATAGATGTTAAAAGGAAAGGGAATGTCAAACACTAACCCCTTACTATTTAGAAAATATAATGAGATATGGCTTTCTATCATATCTGTGCCATCAACGCTCATCAAACGAATCCTGCTTTCAAAGTTCAGCTTTAACAGACTTGGCAAAAGGTCAAAGCGCACCAGGCTTAGACCACAAAAGGCTACATGAAAATGGAAGGTACCTGCTCTGAAACATTTTCCCACCGGTGTCAGTGTGGTCAGTAGCTCACTTAGCTGGCCCTTATGCACAGAGTTTCCTCTGGAACTACTGTAACATTATGAATTTGAAATTTCTGTTGCCCTTGGAGGTAGACTCCACATCTGCACAGTCTATCCTGAGTGCAGAGGGGCCAGAAGTAGTGCTGTGGGAATGATTACATTTCCTCAGGATAGAAACGTGAGATGGAAGCAAGAAGGCCACAGACTCACTCCATCGCCCTTGCAAAGGAAACTGGCCACCTCCCTCCTGCTGAGGTTGGGGAGAGTTTGGATGACTCTCCCCCTCCGCCTCCCCTAGGGGCGTTACTAGGCAGGCCCTCTTCTCTGTTGCCTCTGAGGCTCTCATTTCTTCTCTCAGAACAGATCCTTTCATTTCTTTACTCATTCTTGGTTTATTGTCAAATTATACAACAGATAAGTACTAAGTACCTACTATGTGCTAGTCACTATGTTACATCCTGCATATGGAGAATAGTTCTATAGTTGATCTGTTAATAGACTCTAATTACCACGACCCGAATCACAAATCTCAGACTGGCAGATCCATAAAAACCATTCTGTATCTTCTTCATTTATTTTCTTGAATATCCTCAGACCTTCCCATATAGTCCCACCAGCTATTTCTGTCAGTCATTGGCCCAGTCCTTCAGATGTCTTCCAGTGCCCTGTGAACTCAAAATTATGCAGAGTTGACACAGAAATCCGTACATCCAATGTTCAGTGGTTGCTGTGTGAATTGGCTAAACCTACAGATTGATTTCCCGGAGTAAGATAGTTAATGAGACCAAGTAACAGAATGGGTGCTGCCTTTTGTGGCCATATCTCTCATCTTCTTTAGATCTCAATTTTTCCAAGTGTAGCTTGTGGAGGTTAGACTAGATAATATCTAAAATCCCTTTCAGTTGTATTGTTTTCAGAATCTATAATTCCTAAGATGTAGCTTTATTGAGTAGGTTAATCACTTTTTAATTTAGCTTTAGTGCAGTTAAATGTTGACTGGTCCCGGATTCTATGGAAGGCAAAAGTGTTCAAGTTAAGCACATTGTAATTTGTTGGCAGCACAAATGTCCTTAGTGAGTGCAGCCTGTCTTATTTAAACAGTTGCTTATCCTTGATAATAGTTGTACCAACACACCCTAATTAATTAGCACGCTGATTAGTCTTCCTTTCTCCCAGTTATCCCAGTTCTAAGACTTAAAAATTATGTGGTTCTCAGGTCACAACTTTCTGACCCTTTACCTTTTGGGGTACCTACTCCATCTTCATATCTTCATTTTCTCATCTTTAGATGAAATCTCTTCCCAATTTCACAGTATCTTTTGGTCTCTTCTCATAGTATGGGCCACAAGTCCTAGACACAATTGTTTTCTGTACTGTGAAATGTGATAGTTTTTGTGATTTTAGAGAACTAATATTGGTGTTGGTTTGCTGCCCTACACCAGGTTCTGTACATGTTATCTCATTTAACTTTTACAGCAACCTTTGGAAATACAACTTATTATCTTCATTTTACAGAGAAGGAAATAGGATCAGAGAGATTATTAAATAGCTTGCCAAGGGTCACATAGCTAGTAAGTGGAAGAGAAGAGATTCAAGCACAGGCTCACTCTTCTCTAAAAGCACCTTCCTCAGGGCCACTGAGTGCCGCACTCCAGGAAATATCATTGGCATTGTGTTTGGTATGAAGAGTGCCCCCTGGAGTTATGCAAGAATTTTTTAAAATATTTTAGCCAGCACATTTGCAGGTATTAAAAAAGGGAGGTAAGAAGAGAGGGCCAGAGACTATGGGTAGTTTTAACTTTTTTCTTAGTTTTATTACAGGTATGTAATTAAGATAACTCTTAAGAAATTTTTTTTTAACTAAGAATGATGGGGACCTTTAAAATCATCTCGCTTTTTGGGTTTTTTGTTTGTTTTTGTTTATCAGAACTTCATTATAGTAAAGAGATGAAAGTGAGGTTATTTTAGTGAAAGGGGAAGATGAAGGAACCCAGGCTGAGAATATCGCTCAGGTACTCTGCATCTGGTCCAAGTCTGCCATTGGGAAAACTGAGGCCCAGTGAGTTTGAATGACTTTGCCAAGATCAGAGGACTGAGAGCAAGTCTGCCTGACTCCCACTGAACCACACTTTTTTAAATACCAGCTCAAATAGGATTATCATTTAAGTACTGTATCTACAGTTCCATGCAGTTCTTCCCTTGTATGTACTGATTGTGTATATGCCACGCTATAGGCTTTTCTTTTTCCCTGGGGGAGAGTCAGTTACACAGAAATGGGTTGTACGGAATGTTTGAAATTTTCTCTCCAAACATATTTCCTTATCTCCAGAGGACAGACTGGGAAACTTTGATCTTCTGATGCTGGTTACAGGATCCAGAAGGCATGTGGAAAGTCTACAAGGCTGAGTTGAAGGCCTCGTACACTGGAAGAGGGCAGAATGCTCTAAGCGAGCGTGAGGGGGAAACAGTAGTGTCTTCTCCTCTGTCAGCATTGCCTCTTCTCTGGATGGTTGGAGGACCAGTAAGCTAAGACAGAGTCCTCAAGCCATGGTCATTCCTAACCTTCACTCTACCTCTTTTAGCTCATTAAAGGTTGGTCACCTTTAAAAATTCAAAGCCATTCATTTAGTTGCTGGGTCCCTAAGTTACCAAGCAATCTATGGAGATTGAAGGCAGAGATGTGGAGCCAGTCTGGCTGCTGAAATGTGACTTGGCATGAATGACAGGGGCCCTAAAAGTGAAGCCTTAGGTTCACGTAGGCCGTACTTATTTCTGAGACGGTAGCTTTGTTCTCTCTCTGTTCATTGTAAACAGAGGTGATCTCATAGTGTTATATGTGTGATAACATATTTGTACTTCAAGATGCCTCGGAGTTAATTACGTATGTAGAACTTTAGATTCCAGAAGAGAGGCTTGTGTTCAACTAATTCATTTCAAAGAAACATGGTCTGCCTCTAATAGTAGTAGCACAGTTTAGATAATGGGCATGTCACCTTAAGTCAAGGTCCCAAGGGGGACTTTGTTATTTTGTTTCTTCATTTTTCTTAATAAAATGTGAGGAAATCCTACATGGCTCCCCATTGCTATGTTATTTACACTGAACTTTTATAGTAATTACTGTTGGTCTGTTATTTTATTATTTTTATTTTTTTACCTAATCCTGTGAACTATGGAAATCTTTAGTGGTA